GTGGGGGGAGGAATAGTGCCCCATCGTTGGTGTCAGTGGGGGGGAAATAGTGCCTCATTCTTGGTGTCAGTGGGGGGGAAATAATGCCCCATCATTGGTGTCAGTGGGAGGAATAGTGCCCCATCATTGGTGTTAGTGACACCAATGATGGGGCACTATTCCTCCCACTGACACCAATGATACTTACCTTGCTGACCTCTGCTCCAACCTGGGCTCGCTCCCTCCCTCTCCCATCTACAGCCAGCATACCTGGCTGCAGCAGCACCATCTGCACGGTACAGACACTTACCGGTCAGCTGTCTTCCTTCTCCGGCCGCTCTCCTCTTCACTCGCTCCGGCAACTCCCTCACTCAATCTTCTTTGATCTTCGCGCTGCCGCTCGGCTCCTCCTCTCCAAGCTCCACCTCCTCGCTGATGATTGGCCGCCTGTGTGCCTCTCCTGAGCTACAGTTCCGGCAGGCAATCACCAGCGAGGAGGCGGAGCTGTTGAGTGATCCCAGGGGTGTGACCAGATGACAGGGGCGGCATGTCATCCACACATTGCCTGGAGATGGATAGAGGAGCGGTGTCTCGGTTCCTAAGACCATCGGAAATATGTGTTTTCCAATGCTCCTAGGCGACCCCTGTGAAATGGTTGCTTGACCCCCAAAGGGGTCGCGACCCACAGGTTGAGAACCGCTGGCCTAGGGCAACAGGTTGTTTGGGACTACAGAAAAACACCCCCGCATCTCCTCTTCTCCTTAATATAGGATAAAGGTGTTTTGTAGTCCAGAGGACTGGCAGGATTAATAGGTATTTTTGGCTTTTATTAAACAATATAACAAAACGCTTTCTATGATATATTTAAAGTGGTATTTAATCCAAAAGCTTATATTGCAGCTTACCAATTCTTAAACATGATGTCTGCATTTGTTTTCTTTCTCAGGCTTTTTTTCTTCTATACTCATCTGGTGATCCAGCCAGTAAGTCTGTTGTTTTTCAAAAGAACATGCTGTACTGCAGATGTATTAGTTTACAGGGATGAGACAAACCATTTAACACTGACAGGAGTGCTTACAATGATCAGCCTTTATTTATTTATGTAAAACCTTTATCCCAAAATGAAAAAACTTTTTACTGTAACTGCTTATAAAGTGTTAGCTGGTACTTGGCTTCAATTTGTTAGCGTATTTAAAGTGTTTCTAAACCCACAACAGTAAAATCAGTCTGTATATGCAGTAAAGCATGCGTGTTATGCTCACTGTGGAACTTAAAGTGTTACTAAAACCACAAAAGTCAAATCAGTCACGGCCGAACCTAAGGGGTTAATCCTCTGCATTGTGTAAAAAGGATGTTTGATCCTGACTTCTCTGCCCCTCCTCCTGTTCAAATGTCCACACTGATAAAACAGACTGAACTCTTAGCCCTTCTGCACATGCTCAGTTTAGTGTGTATTGCTAGAGAGGTCTTTTTTTCTTGTGACGGTGCATGTGATCAGCACAGGGCCAATCAGCACTGTCCAGACAGAGGTCAGGGGTTCTGCATTCTCATATAGAGCAGAAAGAAAACTCCTCTTACAAGCGTTAACCAGTGCTCAGCTGAAGTCACAAGACTGCTATATACTGTTGATGAGAAAAAGAATTTAGCAGTTTATATTTACTAAAAAAAATTTAATTTCCATGTTCGGTGTACTTTGGGAGATCAGATATAGTGAATAGAGGGTCCTGGGTTTTTGTAACACTTTAATAGCATGTTACATCCATATTCAGGTTGTAACATGTTACTACTGCAGCTGCCACCCCCCCCCCCCTCCCCACCTCCACCTCCCCGCTATGACAGCAGGTTGGGAATCTTCCCCCCATGCCTGCAGTCACAAGTTTGTCACAAGGGGTTAATCCTCTGCATTGTGTAAAAAGGATGTTTGATCCTGTCTAATCTGATCCTCCCCTTCTTCTTCTACTGTCCCCAACCGGGTGGCACAGTGGCTTAGTGGTTAGCATGTCTGCCTTGCAGTAAATGAGTCATGGGTTTGATTCCTGACCATGGCGCCTCCTGCATGGAGTTTGCATGTTCTCCCTGTGCGTGTGTGGGGTTTCCTCTGGGTGCTCCAGTTTCCTCCCACACTCCAAAGACATGCTGGTAGGTTAATTGGATCCTGTCTAAATTGGCCCTAGTATGTGTATGTATGAATGTGAGTTAGGGACCTTAGATTGTACACCCCTTGAGGGTTAGGGACTGATGTGAATGTACAATATATATGTAAAGTGCTGCGTAAATTGACAGCACTATATAAGCACCTGAAATAAATCTCCTGATAGAACAGAGCCTTGGGGGCAAGCTGCACATGCTCAGTTTGATGTGTATGGAAATTTTTTTTCTCTTGGAAGAGTGCATGTGATCAGCACAGGGCCAGGGGCGGAGTGACCATTTGGAAACTCGGGCACTGCCCGAGGGCCTGGGGTCAGTAGGGGGCCCCATGAGATGCCCCTGGTACCTTTTTCATAGGCTTTTTTGAGTTTGGGCAAGGACACAGGAGCCCTATGATCCCCTATTAGCCGGGGGCCCCATGAGTTGTCAGTCCGCCTCTGCACAGGGCCAATCAGCACTGTCCAGACAGAGGGTCAGGGGTCCTGCACTCTCATAGGACAGTCAAAGGAGAATAAATACTCCTCCTACAAACTTTAACCAGTGCTCAGCCAGACACTGATAGTCACAAGACTGAACTAACTGCTGATGAGATTTAGCAGTTTATATTTACTAAAATTATTGCATTTCCATGTTTTGTGTACTGTGGGAAACCAGATCTAGTGAATTATAATAAACATAGATTTAGTAACATTTTAAATCTGCAAGTATATCTAACACTCTCCACGCCCCCAGAGTGACAATGCTGCTGTCTACTGTGCCCCCTGTGCCCCTTCATCCAGAGCGTAGGCACTCTAATACAGGAGGTGTGTTACTGGCCAGATCACCAGGGGAAAACAGGTAAAAAAGCCTAAAGGATTTGGAGCAGCTACAGTGTCTGTGTTTAATGTTTTTGTTGCTAGTACAAAAAAGGCACTCAATGGAAGGTCTGTGTGACAGAAATACAAAACTATTTTCAGTGCAGCTGCTGATGACCAGAGGCACACCAATCATTTGTAGCTGCATAGATAAGTACTGTAGTGAGCTACAGCAGTGACACTATACCCAGTTACAAAGTGTCAGAGGAAACAAGCAGATTTGTAATTGTTACAAAGTTGCTAGAAGGACAGGGCCTAAGAGTAATATAAATGCTACATTTCTATATACAGGTCTGTGGCCTACTTCACGCTAACCAGGTGGGCAGCTGGCAGAGTGCATTCCGACAGAAAGCGATGCAATGTGCGCTTCAGCGAATCTCACTGTTTCCTTTTTTTTTTTTTTTTTTTTACTTTTATGTGAAATGTCAGATAGTGACAATTGTTTTCTGTGTGCCCTAGCGGTGACCTGTTTTAATCCAGTGCAGAAAATTGCAGGTCACTGCACATAGTGTGAATGAACCCTTTAGGCCACAGAGAAAAGAGGCAAATGTGGAGGAATGAGGCTGCCAATGAGTAACTGCATCTCTACGGTAGGAATGTTAACTGCAACTAAAACAGTGGGCTGAACTAAGCAGAAAAAAATGTTAACAGCCCGCTGCTGAACGCAAATCCTATTTAAAATGCACCTGAATTCTAAGGGTTCATGCATACGGTTGCTAGTAGGCATTTTATTGGCCTAGCCTAAATGTCTTGGGGCTTTCCCACTCCTAGGAAGCTGCACGTGCCATGTACAGTGCCTTGAAAAAGTATTTATACCCCTTGAAATTTTCCACATTTTGTCATGTTACAACCAAAATTGTAAATAAATTTTATTGGGATTTTATGTGATAGACCAACACAAAGTGGCACAGAATTTTGAAGTGAAAGGAAAATAATAAATGGTTTTCAAAATTGTTTACAAATAAATATCTGAAAAGTGTGGCAGGCATTTGTATTCAGCCCCCATTACTCTAATACCCCTAACTAAAATCTAGTGGAACTAATTGCCTTCAGAAGTCACCTAATTGGTAAATAGAGTCCACCTGTGTGTAATTTAATCTCAGTATAAATACAGCTGTTCTGTGAAGCCCTCAGAGGTTTGTTAGAGAACATTAATGAACAAACAGCATCATGAAGGCAAAGGAACACACCAGACAGGTCAGGGATAAAATTGTGGTGAAGTTTAAAGCAGGGTCAGGTTACAGTTGCCATACAAGAGAATGGCTGTATGCAGTCATACAGTTAACCCGCACGTACCATGTACAGAATGCCATACTAGTGATTGGCTGTACACGGTCATACAGTTAACTTGCACGTACCATGTACAGAATGCCATACTAGTGATTGGCTGTACACGGTCATACAGTTAACCCGCACGTACCATGTACAGAATGCCATACAAGTGATTGGCTGTACACGGTCATACAGTTAACCCGCACGTACCATGTACAGTCTGCCATACAAGTGAATGGCTGTACACGGTCATACAGTTAACCTGCACGTACCATGTACAGAACGCCATACAAGTGAATGGCTGTACATGGTCAAACAGTTAACACGCACGTACCATGTACAGCATGCCATACAAGTGAATGGCTGTACACGGTCATGCAGTTAACCCACACGTATCATATACAGAATGCCATACAAGTGAATGGCTGTACACGGTCATACAGTTATCCCGCGCGTCTGACATTTTCAGAACATTGTGTTATAAAAATATGCTGGACGCACATGCGGGAGTGAACACCAATGCAAAGAAGAATCAGTGTTTACAGTGTTTACAAGAGTACGGCCACATACAGCCATTCACTTGTATGGCAGGCTGTACATGGCACCTGCTGCTTCCTGGGCACAGGAATGCATCAAGAAATGTACACAAAACATGAAAAATGCCTATAAAAGTCTGTGTGTATGAACCTTAACCACGTCAATACCGGGCACTTTCACCCCCTTCCTGCCCAGGCCAATTTCCAGCTTTCAGCGCTGTCACATTTTGAATGACAATTACTCAGTCATGCAACACTGTACGAATATGACCAGGGGCGGACTGACAACTCATGGGGCCCCTGGGCAATAGGGGATCATGGGGCCCCTGTGTCCTCACCCACACTCAAACCACACCCAAAAAAGCCTACGCAAGGTACCAGGGGCATCTCATGGGTGCCCAAGTTCCCAAATGGTCAGTCCGCCCCTGAATATGACATATTTATAATTTGTTTTGTGACAGAGCTTTCTATTGGTGGTACCACTTGGTTTTTATTTTTAGCTAAATAAACAAAAAAGACCAAACATTACAAAAAAACACACATTTTTCTTAGTTTCTGTTATCAAATTTTGCAAATAAGACATTTTCCTCTTCATTAATGTTTGCTGATGATGTTGCACTGATGGGCACTAAGGAGGCTGCACTGATGGTCACTAATGAGGCTGCACTGATGAGGCAGCATTGGTGAGCACTAATGGGCAAGGATAGAGCGGTACTGATACACTGCACTGATGGGCACTGATAAGGAGGCACTGACAATGCTGCGCTGATGGGGTGGCACTGATGGGCACTGATAGGCGGCACTAATGGTTATTGATAAGCTGCACTGATGGACACTGATGGGGCTACACTGATGGGCACTAATGAGGCTGCACTAATGTGCACTGATGAGGCTGCACTAATGAGGCAGCCCTGGTGAGCACTGATGGGCACTGATAAACTGCACTGATGGGCACTAATGAGAAGGCACTAATGAGGCTGCGCTGATGGGGTGGCACTGATAGGCGGCACTGATGGTTACTGATAAGCTGCACTGATGGATACTGATAGGGCTGCACTGATAATCGGGGCACTGATGATCAGTGCCATGACTGTCAGTGTAAATGCTGTACTCAGTGTACCCTGACAGATCAGCTCTCCTTTCCTCACACACTGTCTCTGTGTGAGGAAAGGAGAGCCAATAAGAGCCGATAACTGGCAAACCGCTGCTTACATTGTGACAGCTGTGATCGGACACAGCTGATCACATGGTACAGGGCTGCTGTGATTGGCCCTTTACCCTGATCTGTGATCAACTGTGTCCAAAGTGCACAGCAGTCACAGAGTGCACTCAATGTGCACCCCAGGGGAAGCACAGGAGCGTGCACGTGGGAGGATGTCCATGGATGTCCTGCTAGATCTGGAGAACCACACTTAGCGTGAGCGGAATGAGGTTATAAGTGAGGAATTGCTATGCTATAGGGAACATTCAGAAATGTTAATTGTGTGTAGGCAGTACCCTGAAGGATCTACATTTTGTCTTTACTTCTGAAAAATAGCAGAGCTCTTCCTGGTACGTGAGGGTAGCTAGGCAGTCCTGTGCCCACAGCTTCATAGCTGGATCTGCAGTGTGAGATGTAAAGCACTGCTGCCTGTGACTGCTAGTCTCAGGAGATTTGGAGTGAGATGTGGTGATGTCACTATTGTGCTGTTATTATTTTATTATTTTATTCTCCTTTCTGAAGGATCTAATATGCAAAAGGAAAGCCCTGCCTCTACCAAGATGGCCACCTTCACACAGACACAATGTAGAAAAAGACATAAGTCAGTAATGTGGAAATGATCAACTTCAGGGAAACCACAGGCAATACTGGTGACTTTGTTTGTTTTTAACTTTTGTTTGTTTGTAACTTTTTTTTTTTTTTTTTTTTTAAGCTCTTCTGTAATGGGTGGAGCAGTGTGAATATTTTTGGCTGTTCTAGGTCTTGCTGGCTGCAGGCTCAACTACTTTCTCCAACCTTCTAGTGGATTCTAAAATGTAGTGGGCTGGAAGAGTCAGACCCTTGGCCTGAATATTCATGTGGTCTCAGCCAAACCCTGGTTGAGAGGATGCCCAGTAGGTAGCTGAAGAGTGCATAAATATTCTGGGGCCTGCAACAGCAGGGTTCTTGTCCAGGAGGAGAAGACCCAGCCTGAAGGGTTGCCCTTCTGGGCAGATTAGCTGAAGTCTGCAGGAGTTCATCAAGGTTCCAGCTCAGTGAGAGCTGAGGGGACCTACTTTCTGAGAGACGGAGTCAAGTTAAAGGGCGTTCACTGAGGATCTGGCGTGGAGGTTCACAGGAGAAGTGTCTGACCAGTATTGGATGGAGGCATTCCAAGTACACGGGGACATTGTGAGTATAGGTCAAAGTGAAAGATCCTAGTGACAGTTGCTGTTTTAACCCTTTAAGCTCCTGCTTCAGTGTTGCTGACTTGGGACTGCTCCTGTGCTTGGGGTTCCTGAGTTGCTTATACGCCTATTGCTAGTCTAGAAGGGAGTTATCCTGTGGAACATAGTTAAAGGGGAAGTGTCATCTTCTACTTTGTGCACTAAACTTGGAGTATCCCAAAGCTCATCCTGGGGACCTGTACCCCATCCAAGTTCAACAAGCATTAAATATAAAAAAGATGTTCCCGGTCTGACCCTTGAGTAGTGAGACTTTTGGTGCTGCTGTGTGCTTGGCTACTTTTCACTCAATGGAGAAGAGAACATAGGGCTAATCTGTGGGGCCTGTCAGAGGTCTACGCTACATAGAGTTCATCTCCCCATTTATTCCAGGAAAAAAAATTACAGCATTTAAGAGTATAGTAATATTTGCAATTTTTTCATACAATAGAAAATGTCCATAAAATATCTTATGAAGTTTATGGCTGCAAAACTATAAAAAAGAAGTGTTGCCTTTTCCACTGGAGAACATCTGGGGACTTGTTTGGTTTTAATCCTTAAACTGAAGGCCACAAGTGAAGGGAATACAATAGGGATACAGACAAAACCACATTTGGCAGACTAAGGAAGGGTTACAACCACTGACAATGTTTTTATTGCTCTGTGCTCTTTCCTGTCTCACTGATGAGCACTCCATCTACTTCTTCTACAGACATCACAGAGACAGGAAGCAAGGGAAAATCTCTCCACCGCGATCAGACAGAACTGAAAACTCAACAGAAATGTTGATTCTTTCTTGCTTTATCTAAAACTAAACTTTAAGATTTGACTTTTTAAGTTAGACTTACTGAGTTTAATGGTCACCAAAGGGGCAAATGGAGATTATCCTTCATATACTGAAAGGTACAGAGGCCCTCAAGGTGCATCTTTGAAGATACACTATCGCACTATGGGGTTGATTTACTAAAACTGGAAATGGCAAAATCTGGTGCAACTCTGCATAGAAACCAATCAGATTCCAGCTTTTGTTTTGCACTCTCCAGTAAATTTTAGTTAATTAACCCCTATGACTATTGATTCTCCTATGTTCTATAGTATATTCCTCTGTGGTGGATTGAAATATCTGTATTTAACCATTTGCCGCCCGCCCTATGGCCAAATGGTGGGCGGCAAATGTCATCAGCGTTCCGGGTGGACACCATATGGTGTCTTCCCACACATGCGCAGATTGCGCTCCTGCAGAGCGGCGCGATCTGTCACCGGCCGTGTACCTCGGACACGGCCGATGACAGATCTGAGTATCGGGCCCGTTGCCGGTACCATGTGACCTGCTGTGACCAATCACAGCAGGTCACATGACAGTTGTATACAATGGATGGCTTCATTCATGCCATCCATTGTATACTACTGCCTAGCTGTGAATGGTCACAGCTAATCACATGCACATGTCATGTGATTAGCTGTGGCCAAATCACAGCTAAGCACAAAAAAAAAAAAAAAAAAAAAAACCCTGAATGAATCGATGTCATTCAGGTAAATGCTTGCTTATAGCAAAGTAATTCTTTGCTATAAGCAAATTGTGTAAAAAAAAAAATACTGATCACTTCCCCAAAGTAGTACAATGTTACTATGGTAACATTATACTACTTTGGTCATAGTGAAATATGAAAAAAAAAATCTTAAAAAAAAGAAAACAAATTTAATAAAAAAATAATAAAAAAAAAATATATAATTTTTTTTTTATACTGTCACCAGTCAGTGTCCCTGATCACTGCCATGCCAGTTATATTATGACGCTGTACTGCACTGGTGACAATATGTAAAAAAAAAATAGTGAAAAAATTTTTTTAATTTTTTCATTTTCCGAAAAATTATGACAAAAAAAATACAACTTCAAAAAACTCGCCATGCCTCTTATGAAGTACATCGGACTGTCTACTTTGCAAAAAGGGGTCATTTGGGGGATATCTGTACTGTTCTGACATTCTTGGACCTCAAGAAATTAGATTGGCTGTCAGTACTTCAGGATTGATCAATATTCAGATCTATACCATAGTTTGTGAACTCTATAACTTTCCTACAAACTAAAAAAATACATCCTAATTTGGGTTATTTTTACCAAAGACATGTAGCAGAATACATCTCGGCCTAAATTTATGAAGAACAATTATTTATTTGCAAACTTTTATAACAGAAACAAAGAAAACGTTTTTTTTTTTTCAAAATCTTTGGTCTTTTTTTGTTAATTTAGCAAAAAATAAAAACCCCAGTGGTGATTAAATACCACCAAAAGAAAGCTCTGGTTGTGTGAAGAAAATGATAAAATTTTAGTTTGGGTACAGTGTTGTATGACCGCGCAATTGTCATTCAAACTGTGAGAGCGCTGAAACCTGAAAACTGGCCTGGTCAGGAAGGTGTAAAATTGCCCGGTATTGAATTGGTTAAACATTACAGTTCTGAAATACTTTGGTCAAGGCGCAGACAACCTGTGGTCTTCCAGTTTTTAGAGAATGAAAGAACTTTTATAGAAGGTTCCAGCCATACCTGTTGAAGTTGAGTTGAAGTCCATCATCCAGCTCAGACATCTCAAATTTAGATTCCACCAGCATCTGTCTTCTTATTGTTAGCATTACCTAAGAGTACTTTGTGAGGAGAATCAATTAATTAATTTAAAAACTGACTAGTTGCTGGTAGTAAACCTAATGAATGGAGAGAATGTTTCATGGATAATGTCCTCTCTTTATAATGGGCACTAAAAAACAAGCCTGGATAATCATAATGTTGGCAGTTCTACACTGAAGTGACTAGGAAAGTTGAGTTAAGCAGTGACGGGGACAGGGGCGGACTGACAACTCTTGGGGCCCTGGGCAATAGGAGATCATGGGGCCCCTGTGTCC